GAACTGTGTGTGGTTCTGGTCACTCCATTTGGACAGATGCATTAAAGTAGAAATAGCTGCTGAGAAGGGTGACGGTAAGAAGGGAAGCCTGTTTTATTAGGGAGGAATAAAATAGCTTGGCTTTTACAGTCTTGCAAAAAAGCTGAGAAAAGGTATATTACTGGTTGTAGCTAAATGGAAAGTAAATTCCAGGGTGAAAAGCATCCATTTAAGTGAAAAGATAATGGGCACAATCAGAAGTCAATACAAGCTAACCATTATTGTGTTTACGTTAGAAATTAAAAGATTTGGTGCTGGCAGAGAACAGGGCTTCTGGAATAGTCTTGGCTATTGGAACAGTGCACATGAAAGCGTGACTGATTTTAAAATGAAGCTTCACCAGTTTTTGAAAGGAATTAGATGATGTGGTACCTGTGGTTATCAGGGGACTAGACCCAGTGATCTGGGAGATCCTCTCAAATTGTGTGCAGAATAAGATGGATTTGTGCAGAGCATTCCCTCTCGACTGAAATCAAAAAGAACATGATTAAATTCATCATCTTTATCAGCCTTTTGGCTACAATTTGAGCATCAGTTATTGCAAGACCATACTTTCCCTCTGTTGTAAGAATACGTACAGTCCCATGCTTACTTTTAATGGTGGTCAAAGAATGGAAATTGCTGGAATAGGGGGAAACATCAGAATATGGTCACGTGCCCTCTCTGACAGTTGAACCTGAAGTAGGTATGTAGGTAATAGCTTTGCCACTGAGGATCTCTCAAAAGGGGGAAAAACTGTTCAACTCTATGTTCACTGATTTTAATGTAGGCACCTTAATGAATGAATGTTAAGTGTCTGACAACCTGGTCCCAATTAAAGAATACATTTTAAGGCATTTTCAGGCATATTAGTATTCCTTATGGAGTTGTGGAAGAGCTGCCACCAACTCCTCTATGAACGAGGTACAACAGAGCTAACAGGTAGACTGTGAAATCAAATTTGCCTCAGACTCTTTCCTGCTTGACAGAACATTCAGGGAAGAATTTCCACAATTCTGTGCTTGATTCAGTGCCTGGAGATATGAGAGGAAATGAGAAGCAGGTCTAATCTTTCTTTTCCTTGGCAATTTTAATTCATGAAAATACTCTCTGTGCCCCCGAATCGAAGTCTTCCTCTGCTGATCTCACTTTCTTCTCTACAGTCTTTAAACAAAACAATGTGATATTGCAATTGGCTTAGATTGAGGAGAAGCTGCTGTGCTAGCTAAAAAGTTGGCACCACACCTTCTATTCAGAATGCTGCACGTTGGTGGTGTATGTTCAGATAACCTCTAGCTACAGTTGAGTAATACCACGAATGGGGAAAACCCTAGAGAAATAGGAAAATCCCTAACTGTTTGTGCATTGTGTAAGTATATTTTACTTAGGCTCTTTGCCAAAGCAGATATGAATCAAAGATGCTCTCCGTATACGAGTAAAATGTACTATCATGTTCAGGATCTTATTTTTGCATAAAAGACACCCACGGCATTTGTGAAAGGGGAAGAAAATTTCCATTCTGGTTTTAGTGTGTTATGTTTTTCTATTGCATTCATCACTGAAAATTCCTGAAAACAAAAGATACAGAAAGTGGGAGAGGAACTTGGTTAATTTATTTGAGTTCTTCTTTGAGACAAATGGTCTCTTTTGACTATTTTGCAAAATGATTATAAAAGAAAATACTGCCCCCCCCCCCCCCCCCCCCCTCCCACTACAAAACCCCCCCCTTGGTATTGTACAATAAAAAGAAACACGTATTAAAAAAAAAGGAATTGAGCTGTGACCAAATGCTTGCTGTAACTGGCAAGTGTTTGTGCAAATGTTTGATTATTTATGTAAACCTTCCCAACAGCTCCTCACCCAGAACAAAACCAAATGCCCAAGAACGACAAAACATCTCCCTACCAGAACAAAAATCACTGATGGATATGTTTCTTTTTCCTATGGAGAAGATGGGAAAATAAATGCAAGATGGTACTGGAAAGTGCTCAGATGAATCCTACCATCTGAGTGAAAAACAATAATTAATTAGGATAGACTAGAAGGTATAGGAGGATTTCTGCATCATCCCACAGCCCCACAGAAGTGGGTGGGGATTTTTTCATGTTTGTAACTTCATTTATTTACATACGATTTACATTTTTCAGGTGTCATAACAGGGGCTCCAAAGCACTGGCCTTCCTTAAGTAAAGGGCTGAATCCTCTGAATTTTGTGAGATTTTTGTTGTTTACTTCAATGGGATCTTGATTTTTTTCTAATGTATTTTTGCACCATGATTGTAACCAGAAAGGATGGTTAGAGAAGTTAGTTTAAAGATGATGTTCTAAGAAATTTTGACTGGCAGCTGGGAACTCTCTCAGTTTCCCTAACCAAAATATTTTCAATAATCTGGCTGCAAAATGGGAAGTTAAAAATACAGAAGTAAATTGCTAAATTATCAACTTCACGAGAGATTAATTTCTTCCAGTAAGCAGTGGCTCAGCAATTAGATGATCCAACAGTTAGGTTTTCTCACCAAGAAAGCTAGCTCCCTAACTCACTCACTCAATTTTTTGCAGTCATTTTGTATATTTGTCTATTCCACTCCCTAAGGCCATGGAGAACCTCAAGTAAAGAGACTGAATTAAAATTGTCCTTCTGCATATTCTTGCAGGATTTGATTAGAAATAATTCAAAATTAGGGCTTTGAAACAGCAGTTAAAATTCCAGTAGTTTTATGAGCTGGCACGTTCCACTTTTATTGGTTTAATGTTGCACTGAATTATTCAGAAAGCTATAGTCTTCTTTCTATTGATGAATGTGCATTGGAAGAACCAACGAACTACCAATGAAGCTTTTTTCTGGAGGGCAGAAATAATTCATAAATGACAAATATTTCTATGAACACATTACAGCAGAAATGAGGTCGCATCAGTTACATTTTTCAATCCTTCAGGGGGATTTGAGGAATTTATGAAACCATTGAAGCAAAAGTAGCCCAGTTTTAGAACAGTTATGTAAAGAAGTTTGATTTCCTTTACAGTATCATAGAATCATAGAATGGTTTGGGTTGGAAGGGGCCTTTAAAGGTCATCTAGTCCAACCTCCCTGCAATGAGCAGGGACATCTTCAACTGGATCAGGTTGCTCAGAGCCCCGTCCAACCTGACCTTGAATGTTTTCAGGGATGGGGCATCTACAACCTTTCTGGGCAACCTGTGCCAGTGTTTCACCACCCTCATTGTAAAAAATGTCTTCCTTACGTCCAATCTAAATCTACCCTCTTTTAGTTTAAAACCATTACCCCTTGTCCTATTGCCACAGGCCCTACTTCTTTGAGTGTCAGTGTAGTACTGTGTAGAAGCAGCCAAAGTAATATCTTTAACAATGTCACAAGTAATTTTTATAATCTTCAGTCTATGAAAATGTATGACCATCTCTGTCTTATTATAAAAAGTGGTTTAAAATACCACCTTTTATGCATCTGCACTTTTATGAGACATAGTGACAAACTGCCAATTGTTGAAGATGAAACTTACCTCCAGAAGTGATTATTAAAAATAAAAGTGCCAAAAGGACAAAGGAATGAGAACTAATACAGGTTCGATACTGGTCACTGGGTTTCTAAAGGCCTTCTTTAAAAACAAGCTTATCTAGCTAAAAATTGAAAAGCCGTGATGAAGGACAGAAAACACAGTTCTCAGGTACTCTAGGCAGCTGCCACAGGGTAGCTAACATGCTGTCATTTCTCACCTGCAGCAATAATATGATTTTGCTCTACAGCTGTGTTTATGAGGAGGACAGAATTACTTGTGGACGAAAGTCTCATGGAACACCAAGCAATAGTTATTTTATGATGTGCTAATTCTTACCCAGGCTGCAGTCTCTGTCTTTGTCTACAACTTGAGAACTTCCAAATGTCCACTGAGAGACTTTTGCTGGCTCGAAAACTTGCAGATTGTTGGCTTATTGACAAGATCCTAAAATGTTTTAAAAGGACTGAGAGCTGCCAGTCCGTTTGAGAACAGAGGAGACAAGGTGGTGCCTGCTCCTTTTGTGGGTGTGACAAAAATGTCTCTGTGAATGAGACACTGATTTTAAAGGAAAGCAGAGGGGAACATATATGCCGTATACAAAGGAATACTGGTATAAGCGCTATGTCAGAAACTTGAATGCCAGAACAGCAGAAAACAGTATTTGCTGTCTAAGTAATAGCCTTTCTTTAGAATGTCATGCATAGTAGTCAAAATAAGATTTGTTATTTTTATACTCTACAGAATTTTAGTGTGTGGTTAAGTGTTTATTTTACTGGGAAAATGGATGTAGTCTGTCTGAAAGATAGCTGGAAACTTCTTAAAATCTCAGTGTCAGGTTCACTTTGCCTCTTACAAAAACACTTTCCCACTTGAACACGGTAAGTACTGTGCGTGAGTAATTTCATTTGCAGGATTCTGAGCCAGGTAGTTCTCAGAAATAAAAAGGCAAGTCTTATTTCTAAACTTCATTTGCAGTTACTGTAATACTTCCTTCCATTGGCCTAGTGTTCTCTTCTAAAAGTCATATAATATTCAATAGTGTTCTAGACATCTTCCATTAAAAAATCACTTAGTTTCTTTGCTCTGGTATGAAGCAGTCCATTGTAAAGTTTGACAAAACAATAAATAAGCTCTTGGTCAGCATGAATGGCAGTACCTGATAAAATGATGTCTGTATTTGATGGAACTGTTACACTTGTTATAACAATTACACCTTAGTAGAAATACCTGAAAATGAGGATAATGCTGATTGTGTGTCCCCATACGTATCAGGCTGTCATATGCAGTAGTGATGTGCATTTTCACTGTATTTGGAAATCTTTTTTTTATCTTGAAAATGATTTCTGTTGTGAACTGTGAATATGTTTACTTGTTTAAGGTATGCTTATATTTGTGTGTACAATGATTAAGCAATATTAATTTTTATTGTTACCTCAGCTTTTATAATATTTTTGTTTCTGTTTGCAGGGGATTCATTGTAAAAGCAAACCTTCCAGTGAGTATACATAATTCACATTTTTACTACATTTGTTTTTGAAAGATAAAAATAATTTATTGCAGATAATAAAGCCACTTTCCTGGTGACATCAGATCACTGTCATGACAGGGTGTTTACCACCAGTTTTCTCATACTAAACATTGGAAATTGGTAGGGTCTGATAAATAATAGGTTAATAATGACTGTGCATTTTTGCTTTATAATTTTCCTTACCATAGATGGTCATTGGGAGAATTTGCTTAGTCATTTCACATATTTTGATTGCTTCCACTTATTATTATTGCCTACCGTAATAATATAGGCTCTTGAATTACCTGAAATCTGAAGCCTCCATCAATCACTCCTGCAATGCACACAGTCACTTGACAGGGAAGTATGAGGCAGCTGCCTTGCTGGCAGTCCCCTCTGAGAAGACAGTCCTGGCTGGAGGCCCAGGTCTGAGCACTGCTTATCTCCATGGTGCCTTTCCTGGATCTGTGTGGCAGAGAGTCCACAGACAGGGAGAAGCTGCAACGCTGAGCCGCAAGTGTGTGAGATGCTGATGCTATGGTGTGGGGTGTGAGCCGAACGTCAGCTGTCATGAGTCTTACTCTGAAAGCATGGCATTTATGGGACATGTGTTGAGGTGGAGAGGAAGAACACGGCTGTGGAAGGGATGCAGTTAAAAGTCCCACCTGAAAAAGTCTAGTCTTCTGCCAGCGAGCAGAGTGAACCATTGGTGGCTGGTTCAAGGATTGCGAATGAATCTTTTTAGGATTAGGCAGCTGAGCTGCTAGTTACAGAAGAAACAGGGGCGTTGACCTTTGCTCTGCCTAGCTGAAGCATGCCTTCATGCCCTTGGGCAGCACAGGCTGAGGAAACCAAACCCTTCAACCCTGGTCTTAAAGGGAAGGACACCTGCAATGCTGTTGGTTATGAGTTAATATCTGTGCTGGGTATTACACAAATGCAGATGTAGATAGTGGAGACTCACTACAGGTACCACGAGGTGGTGATTCATTCCACCCATCTTAGGACAAGGTGATTTATGCGCTGGGAGGGAGGCGAGAGGGGTTCTCCATATCTGTTGACCACCAGAGGTGCTTAGATGATGCACATAAGCTTAAACTAGATGTTTAGCTCTTAGCTGGATATAGACTTTGGGCATTGAAGAGTTTGTAAACTAAAGATTCTTATCTTTCAAGATGATGTACATGAAGCAGAGCTGCTTGTAGGTTTTCAGTGCCGCCTGAAAATGACTTATCAGCTATCTCTAATACAAGTAACATATAGGATGACTCAGCCTTATAGGGGTGATGAAAAAACATTTTTTTAGTCTTCATCCTAATTCACTTGTGCAACAGTGGGTGTATGCTCATTTCCATACTTCCTTTTCTATAGTCATTCTTTTTATTATTTATTATATGAGGTAAAATTACCTTAAAAGACCTTAACTGTATAATAGAGCACCTTTGCAGTAGTCATTGCTTTTAGCTCTAACAAAGAGATGACTTTATTTCCTAGAATGCAGCTCAGGACTCAGCCTTATAGGGGTGATGAAAAAACATTTTTTTAGTCTTCATCCTAATTCACTTGTGCAACAGTGGGTGTATGCTCATTTCCATACTTCCTTTTCTATAGTCATTCTTTTTATTATTTATTATATGAGGTAAAATTACCTTAAAAGACCTTAACTGTATAATAGAGCACCTTTGCAGTAGTCATTGCTTTTAGCTCTAACAAAGAGATGACTTTATTTCCTGGATTTTGCAGCTCAGTAGTATTTGGCAACGTAGCTTTGACTCTGCCTTCTCCCTCCTGCTCTTCTAGACTATTGGTAGTACATAAGGGCTACTGTAGTATTTGAAATTCACTGTAATATATCCAGACATTGATATCAATATAGCAATGATTTTAAAAAAGCCTTACATTCTCAGAAAATGTATTTGGCACAGTATATCACCATGTTGTCCAATATCCTTGAAAGTTTGAAATATTTTCTGAATGTACAACTGTGAAACCCTCCTAATTTACTGTGCTTTGAAATCTATTGTGAAAGAGAGGCTGTCAGTCTGAAATTTAATCAATTTCATAATTGGTATAAGTATTTTTAAGTAGCAAATTTTGGTCTTTATTAACTGAAGTGCACCGTATGGTTATCTTAGGAGAGCATATCTAGTTTGTTTATGACTTTTGTTGAATCATCCTAATGCATAGATGCAGCAGATACTGTGATAAATCATATGCAAATAGGTTTGAAATGCCACTGTAATTTATATTCATGGAATGATGCTCCAGTGAAGCAATTTTAGTGTGCTTTAGATATGCTCACAGATTTAGTGCTGTCAGTATCCTAAGTAGTACAGATTCTTACAATTCTTGTAAGGAAGAAATATCAGACAAAAAAAGTTAGGATTTTCTATTGGGGGTTGGCCTGGACCTCTTATTAATGGGTTTTCTCGGCAATTTTTTTTGCTGTTCTCCAATTTCATCTTCTTGCCTGAGGCTTCAAATTATCCATCTAATCATTTCTATTGCGTATTCATTGCTCAGCTCTGGCTTCTATTATCTAACTGTACATAAGGTGTGTTTTGCTGTTGTGACAGTTCTGGGTTGATTGCTGCATCATCAGATAAAAAAATAATCTGCTGTGGTTGAGCTGATGGCATAAGTACAAGGAAAGTGTCTACATGCTGAATAATAAGCCTTGGCTTCTTTATGCCTGGGCTTATACGTATCCATAATTAAGGAATCTTTTATTACAGCAACAATCCTTCTCTCATGTAGGGCTAATTACAGTTATAATTCATAAGCATCAAATTTAGGCAAGATTTACTCAGCAGATGGTTTGTGTAGCAAGATGTATCTTTATGTCTTCTGGGGTGTAGATCAAACTACTCATGAGAAAAGGAAAGAGGTGTGTGTTCCAGAGGAAACTATCTGAGGGGGGGATTAAAAGATGGTAAGGTAAGAGTTTACTGAAGAATTAGTCAGAAATAAGTCTCCTACTGTGATGATTTATAGAATGAAAATTATTTTCTGTCAGCTCTTCCTTGTATCATATATTTATTGTGATCCAAAACTAATATCCTCTTGCACGATATGATCCATTTAAATTATTATTGAGTTTTGCAGCATCTTTTGCAATTCTCAAAGTGTATCATAAAATTAATGGAAAAAAATCCAAAGTGGAAGAGTAATTTCATTTTATCCAGTGTATTACTTATTTGTTCTCAGTTTGAAGGTAGAAACTGTGATCAAGGAGAACAGTTGGAAGAGTAATTTTTTTTTATCCAGTGTATTACTTATTTGTTCTCAGTTTGAAGGTAGAAACTGTGATCAAGGAGAACAGTGTACCTGCTTACAGACAGACAGTAGTGCCTAAAACTGTGTTTGTGCATCTGCCTGATACTGATCCAATGTCAGTAATGCATCTAGGTATGACTTAGGAATATCCTGAGATAGTTCCAAGCCTGTGAAATCTGATAATACCATACCTCAGGCAGTAATAACTAAGGACCGAATTAAATTATGACAGTCTCTCCTAAAAATAAGTAGGGTCAAATAATAAGGTCAAATTCACCCAAACAGAACACTTTGTAAAGAACTGTCAGCTTTGACAATGTGTATATATATATATGTTGCTCTTCCCTTAAATAATTTCTACACAGACATGGAACTGGGCAAGATTATAGGCCTGGATCAAGAAATTTACACCAACAATCAAGGAATTAAGCAGAAACAGTTGCTCCTGGATACCATTTGGTATCCACACCTGCATGTCATATGATGCAGTCAAGAAAATATCTTTTTAAGCAAAGAGACAGAGCTAAAACTAATCATCACTTATCACGTTATTAGTAATAATTATCAGGTAGTTCTGCAATATAATAACCTCCCAATTAACTGTGGGTGGATTGATTTGGTGTTGTACAATAACTCTCCGTCCTGAGATACCTTCAGGATTATTACAACACCCATGCTTGGAACACAGAATGTAGTGTTCACATCTGGCTGCTGTGTACTGTACTTCTTAAGGCTGCCTCATCTCTGTGGAAACATGTTTACAAATTCTTCAAAAGTCAATGTACTCCATTGCTCTTAAAGCCTAGTTTGTATATTTTGAATGATCTGTGTTTTTTCTTTGGTTTGCACAAGTTGTCTTCTCTCGTTGCCAATATTACCTTGGATAATTGAGAGTTGACTCTACTATCAGTTGAGGTAAAGTGTCCTTGTTTTTCCATTCTTTTCCACTTGGTTCATATCAGCATATCCTGTTGCCTCCAAAAGATGCTTAATGGCACAAAACCAGGATAATGGAGTGGAGATTCAGGTGTGAATCTTTTCTGACTTTTGATATGTATCACGCAGGACTTATTTCTCCTGATAGCAAGTGTGAGGGCACCTTAAGGCCTGGCAGATTCAACTGGACACTGTGAAAGTGAGGATCTCATAATATAGAAGGAGGTCCTGTACAGGTTAATACACTTTCAGTCTTTAAATTTAGAGCACTTTCCGTCATTGCAGGGGTTGGAGGGGTAAATAAGGATAAGTTTTGCCCTTCCTCCTCCTCCACATCCTACCTTTCCTCTGTGAGAACTGTGGATGTGTCTTCCATGTGAGTCAATGGGCATCCACGCTTGACAACAATTCTTGGCTAGACATTGAGGAATGCGCCCTTTCCTGACAATTTAAGTTAAGACTCTTATCCTGTATTTTATGGCAAGCACAGTATCATGGCACTGCTGTTTCATACTATGCTCTTCGCCATACTAGTTGAACTCCTTCTAGGAGTATGTTAAGCGGTATGACTAGTAAGAGTCAAATGTTTTTTTGTTATTCCAGCCTCTCCCCAGGAGGAGGAGAATGTGCAGTAGAATACTTAGTTTTACTTGGGTGTCTTTTAACTTTCATGCTATGTACCGAAGTGAGAAGGGTAAGAAATATTTCAAAGAAATTGCTATGATGTAGTTACAGCTAAAATGAGGTGTGCTGCATTGTATACCACAAAGCCAAGGACAAAACCCAACTCCCTGGATATTTGTCTGATAGTTTCTTGAACTCTTAGTTTTTGGGACTACAAACAATGTTTGTGAGCTGGAGAAGTCCAAGGAATGCATTGGGGATTACATCCACTGTACCAACATAAATTCATAAATAAATAACTGATTTCTGTGCAGGGCAGTCTGAGAAGTAGAAAGAGATGAAATATGGCTAACTGATGAGATTTGGGGCCTTAAGACTGTTTTTTTCTTTTACGTTAGGCTACAGAAGGAGGCTGTGCAAAGCAAGGTCCTAAGGCTTTGGGATGGCTAAATTTCCATAGGAAAATAAGTTGAGACATAGTAGCTGTGTTCTGTGCCTACTGTTTACACCTTGAAGAAGGCCTGGATAATATTTATTCTGCTCTAAAGCAGAAGAAAATCTTGTAGATGTGAGGGATTTTTCCATGACTAGGAATGCAATGGTGCCCTCTTGTGTGAAAGTGATATTTTAACAGCAGTTGAGACCATCAGCCAATCCTAAAATTAAAATACTACCTATGAGAGCGCTCACAATATACAGGTAATGGCTTTGAAAAAAAGTTTAAATAAACTATTAGTCTAGCCACGATCTAGCAGATTGATTATTTAAAAACATTATTAGTCTAGGCATGCTCTGCTAGCCTTAACTGTTAGAAGTGTGTTTCCTTCCTCTTGTGGGTTAACACTTCCCTAAGCCAGGAAATTTATTATCAAACCCCATCTGTAATGTAGTTCTTTCCATGCCCCCCTGCATTGCCTGTGAAGCCAATGAGCTATGTTGGCTGTGTGAAAGTCTTAGGTAAAGTACTGGCTTTGCTGAAGTCAATGGTGACTTTCCTACTGATTTCAGTAGAGCTGGAGCTTCACCTTTGGTGCTTTCTCTCCCCCACATATCCTGTGCACAATGAGGTTTCTCTGTCTTTGTATTTGCATTTGCAGGTGGCATTTTTAACAGCTTCTGCCATGATGCTCCTGCAACTCTATCTTCTATGGTACTGAAAAGCATGAAGATCTCAACAGTGATGAAATGTGTCCAAGGAAGTCCATGCTCTCTTCATTTAAACATTAAAGGAACTCTGAGTCTGGATGGTAGGAAGCAGATTTGCTACTGAATAATTTGTTTACTTTTTGTTTATAGCTGCTCAGCCAAATTTTGTTCCATATTGCAATATTTGTGTCCAAGCTGTTTTCATGTAATTATATCATAAAGATAAGTTTGGTGAAACCATTTTACTCCAAACCAAGATAAAGCCGTGGCCCTTCTCAAGGGAATGAGAACCGAGAGAATGAATTCAAGACAACTGAATTTTTACTTCCAACATAATACACTTAACTTGTCCTCTACCAGTGCCCCAAGCATGCTGCTGCCCTTTTCTTTCTTGCTCTGACATGAGTGCACACACACTAATTCTGTCTGCCGTGGTAACTCAGACATGAGTGACTGCCCCAACAGAAGGAGAAACAGTTTATGCGTCTGAAGTTACAATTCTGCACTAAAATAAAATGAAAGCACTCAAAACTTTTTGGGCATAGTCTATTTTTACTAACACCCTGCCATTCATGTGCTTAGTGTGTTACCATTTATATATTTCTTGGTGTGCTTCACTCAGAGTTAATAGGTTTATTTTTTAAATTTGCATAAGAATTTGCATAATTCAAGCTTTAATTTATAGCAATCTGTATTAAATCCTTGCTCCTACCCCTGTGTATTATGTATAATGCCCCTTTTTTAACAGAGTTAAAATACATATGCCTTTCACTTAGAAGGAAAGTTTATGATATGGTATGTTTTAATTTATTTTTTGTTTTTCTTAAAGATGCTGAAATTATATTTTTGAAATCTATTCCTAACTCATTTCAGAAAATATCCGTGGGCTGGAAATATGTTCTCTTTCACTGGACACACAGCAATCTCAGTGCACAAATGTGAGATTTGCTAGGAAAAAAAGCAAGATGCTTAATGGAAAGAAGGTAAGCTCCTTTTTTGGGTTGTTTTTAATTTAAATGTTTATGAGCCTTTGGAAAAAAATGTATTTTGTATCTCTTATTTTCATCTCTTACTGACTTTGTGGAAAACTGCAATGAAATGTATGCTGCAGCATTGTCAAATGAAACTGCATAACAAAATGTCCTTTTATAACCTATAAATTCAATTCTCCACCATTTTCGTACTTCTTCCACTTACCTTTTTGCAAGAGAAGCTGCTTCTGCAAAGCCTAATTTTCATATCAATCTTGCTGGCTTTCTTTTTGTGCCCATATGTGCATACATATGATTTATTTAAGTCCAACCATGTCCATGGAATTTACACATCTAGAAGACAGCCCAGTGCCTAAGCACTTGTGCACATCTGTCCTAAACTCATGGTAATAATTGCAACAGCAGAGTACAATTTTTTACTCAACTAAACCCAGAAGTATTTGTTATTAAAATTTGCAACTGGGAAAAAAAAAAGACTCATCCTCGACCAACTGCTTAAAAGACATGAATTTTTGCTTTCAATTACTGGCGGATAACTGTTATTAATCCCATACAAAATGTGTTACTTCATGTGCTTTGTAAATGTTATATTGATTGCACATGTGAAACAATGTTCTTCTCCCAAACCGCAATTGCAGTTTACGCTCTATATCACTTGATGATCAAACGTCCCTATAGGCAATGCAGGGCCAGCAATGAACAATTGATAGGTTTTAGTGTAAGGTAAGTTTATAGGCAAGACTCAACAAACATATTTAATGAAATTTTCTTAGTTTCAGTTCAGTGACTAGAATGCTGACATAAGACGTCTTTTACCCTCCAAATGCCTTGTACCAAATAGGAGTATAACCAACACGAAAACCTATATAGAATTTAATAGTTACTGCTATCAGTGAGGGAATGACCTGCTATAACTGGCCTTCAACTTTTGTCTCCTAAATTACTTTCTCTCTCACAAACTGTTACTGGAATGAATAAATTTGCTGAAGTTGCCATTAAATGTTTAAACAGACATTTTTTTCCTATTCTGCAAGTGTTTGTGCTTGTTAAATGCCTACAAACTGGGACTTTTGGTAGTGTGTAAGACCTTTTTGCTTTTGAAGTTCAATAAGCATTGGGCACCTGTATTTCTATGCTTTTAGAATTATTTGATAGCTTGTAGATATTTGGATTTCTGGAAGTGAAGAAGATAGCAACAGCCTGGATTAGAAGTAATGATACTCTCTGAAATTCTTTCATTAAGTGGTATCTGCTTCTTTTACATTCTTAATGCTACAATATCTGAGACTGCTTAATGCTCCTTGTAAATATAAATAAATCTGAACAAAGAATATTGCTTGCTTAACTCTGATAACCAGTGGTTTTCATGTATTCTGGAAGTCACACACAAACTTGATTTTATAAATGTTTTAAACAGGTACAGGTACAATTCAATTGCATTGAAGTCAATGTAGCACAACACATCTATGTGACCATGAAAACAGTACCAAATTACTGTGAAGTCAAGCTGAGTCAGGAATACTATGTTGAAGGTAGGAAAACATCTTAAACCAGATGTTTTTCAAGAAACATCTTTTCAAAGAAAAAAGCCAAACCAAACCAAAAAACCCCGAATGCAAAGCCAAATCACATTCCGGGATACACTGATCTAACTGATGGTAGATCATGTATGCCAGGACCAGTCTTATTCTATGTTTCAATGATTTATTTTGTGCATATAAATGTCTGACTTGCTGTAAAAAACAGAGACCAGAGTTTATATCTAAAAGTACATGGAAAACTGAACTACACTATGCATTTGTCCTAATTGGCCTTCTTGTGATTGGCATGTGCTCTTTCTCTGCCTGCAGGTTCAGTCCTGTGTGCTCTCTGTGCATAAGATGGAGCCTCTGCTTCTCTTCATAGTTAGGCCACAGGTGGTTTGAGAGATTGAGGAAAGCTTAACAAGAAAGTGTAAAGAAATTTCTTTTTACTTTCATTAGCTAGCTGTTCTATCACCTGTTTTCACGTAACTGGATAAGATAAGGTAGTATTTTTCCATGTGTTTGGCATAAAATGCCTACCATATGCATATAAAAATAGATTCAGCACTGTGGTCCAACCAAGATACAGTGTGGCTAGTGAAGACAAGTGCACCAAATGGTGGTGCAAAAAATGAAATGAGACCCCTCGTTCGGTCTGGTGCCTGGGCTTGTCCTGCCTTCCCATCTCCAGGGCCTGTGGGTGGGCAGCTCTTGCCCTTGCCCCTTGGTACAGTATCAACCCTTGCACGCAGTATCAGACACATTATGGCTGTTTCACGCTTTCATAGAAGTAAAACCTTTTTGTACTTAAAAAGCCTTTCATTTTCTTGATAAATGCTGATTCACTATTGAAGTAGATATGTACTTTGTGAATAAAGGGGGGGGGGGAAATAAGGTTTTATAAAGCCCAGTTTTAAAACACTTTACAAGGGTGAGTAAACAAATGAAAGTAGGAAATATTACTCTGGGGAAAAGAACTGTGTGGGGAAATGAGAGCAAAGTGCTGCTCTAATAGTGAGTTAAGCAAGGAGAGGTGAAAACAGTAGGCAGCACATTATGAGCTGATTTAGTGTTCTTAAATCAAGATTTAAGTTTTGGAGATACGAATATTAGATATTAGTTCTGAAAGTGTCGCCTGGCCTCTAATTCTGGTAAGCTCCCTGGGAGCTAAATAGGGTGTTTCTTTGTAAACCTAGAGTAGAGTCAGAATAGCAAAAATACACAGTTGTTTATAACAGAGGAATAAGCCTGGTAAACAACAGGAGTAGCTTTCAAGGAAAGAATAACTGAAATAATAATAATAATTAATACTACTACTACTACTAATTTTGTTAGGTACTAGGTAAAGAAGTGCAGTGTTATATCGTAGATTGCCACCTTAAACTGCTGATGAGGTTTTCCAGTAAAAACCCCACGCTGGTGAGATAGCTCCTTAAGGCAAGTTGTGATATAATCTCTGTGTGTGGTAAGGGTACTTTTCTTTTTTGCTGTTTATCTAGAAGTGGATGTAAATCTGCCTTTAAAAAGGGGTATAAGAGATAGGTTTCCTGTTGGGAAGCTATTGGATAATTTGGCAGTTTGTTTACACAGTTATACAAATAAAGCAGCACTGAAGAAAACTCTGGCTTCTATTTTGCAGATTGCAGAAACAGTGATGTGGGAAAATATATTTCAGCTTGTTCGGGTGAGCTGATCTTCTATACAACTTAAAGCTGTGAGATACTTCTGGTGACCTATACAATGATATGTTTTCATAGCTAAATAAGCAGGGAAAAAAATGATGATTTACAACTACCACTACTTATAATTACCACGTAGTTGATGATAGATAATGTCCTGAAAATGTGTTTCTTTATATTGACTTGGAAATGCTAGATAGCAGATAAAGATATTGACAACCTATTTAATACTTAAACTTTTGGAAATAGGTTTGCGTCCTTTTCACGCACTTCATTGCTGGTTTTATATTTTGTCTATAGACAGACCTCATAAATAGATTGAAATTAATTTACCAAACTGCTATCCTGATTTTGGCATAGCCATGAATATAAAAATAATAAAACGTCCCCCCACATATCATATTCTCTATGAAATGAAATTGGAACCTTGGGATAATCAGCTTTTGTAGTAGTATTAGTATGTATATTTCAAGTATTTGTACATGAACTACATAACATTTCAAGTACTAAGGTTGAGATACAATCGGTAGGTGTCCTGGCCTCTCAGTATTGCCAGTGCTAATTTAAAACTGAATAATATTGAAATTTATTCTCATGAAAGTTATTATATCTCATAAAATAAGAATACTTTTAGGAATATCAAGATATAAAAAGAATTAATTCAAACATCCTAGGTAAGAATCTATAGATACTGAATTTCATCTCCATCAAGTTATGAAATATATTCTGTACTTTTTATAAAGAAATAACAAAATCAGAAATAACAAAGTAATAAAGAAACAGATGTGATAATTTCATGCTTCAATTTTCTTTTTCAGCTGGAAAGTTTGATTATAATGTAGACAGGGCAAGGAAAATTATATCAGTGAATGTATCCAACTTTCTTCGAGATCAAGATTATTACGTTCGCCTGTGCCACAAATGGTTTACCTGTGAAGATGCAGGGGCATTTGCTGTGGTGAGTTAAAGCTCAAAGCAGTTTGTTGAACTGGTGGGAGGTGACTTCTAGGTGGAAATGTTCATTGAGGTCACAGTTACAGGAAATGCCCTTCTATATCTTTATTTAGCTTTATTAAAAGTCATTTACTGTCCTGGATTAATGACCATCTTTTTCATTTCAGATAAAAGGGAAGGAACCTTTAAAATCAGTTTCTCTGAAATATTCTCAGCTACTCCCTTGTCTTTGCATTGAGGTAATACAGTCTGGAATTTGGTATACGCTTGTGTTTCTGATTAAAGAAATTTTATCTGGGATCTGTGCTAAGAAAGGAGGAAAAATCTGTAGAAAAAGGCTCTAGACCTAAGTTTTTTACTAAGGCTTTTCTGGCCTTATGATTATGTAAATGTAGAAGAGATTTTTTAGGAAACACTAATTAAAACATGAAGATAAGAAGAAAATGGGATACAATTTACATTAATTTATGGAAAGTACTGTGTAAGATTAATTTGACTGATTTTTTGTAAGCAATGAAAAGACAGAAAATTTAATCTGACTGAATTTCAGCGTAGCATTTGATATAGTATTGCATGAGAAACTAAAAGAGGAATTGAGGAAGCTGGGAGTGAGAACAAGATTTGTATGGTAGATAATACCTAGCTGGAGGGCTAACTCGACTACTCGGTGTTAAATGGGGCTGTGCTAGTAGGAAGGTTATTTAAGGACCACACTTCCAGCAGTTCTTATCTAAGTGTTTTCATCAATGACATGGGCACAAAAGGTGGGAACGTGTTAATGAGATTTGCTGATAATACAGTTGAGAGGTGTAATAAAAATGGAAGAGGGACAGGGTAATTGGAAGAGACTAGAGATCTTCACACATGAAATAACTAAAGGCAGATGAAGTGCAAGTTCATGCACTTGCTCTAATAAAAAGAATTCTTGCTGTAAGATGCGAGCCCTCATTTAGAAATAACAGTGGAGAAAAAAAGATCTGGGTGTAATAGTTCATCGCAGGATGATTAAACTAACATGCTTACATGATATAAACATGAACAAAGGTCTAGTGGGTTAGCTTATTCCAAGCTAACAGGAAAGTATGGGCAAGGCCTTCTTTGAAATACCGTAGGCAATTCTTGTATCCGTATTCAAGAAAGATTAATTCAAATGGAAGGTGTGCATAAAAAATCTAGAATGGTTGGGGAATGGAGAGACTGCCTTATAAAGGAGATTCAGAGAACATGTTTTATTTAGCCTGGTAAAACACATGCAAAGAGAAAATATGTTTGTTGTCTAAATACACATCAGAAGGGTCACTTATAAGGAAAAAAAGCCATTCTTGCTGTAAGAATGAAGGGGGATAAACTTCATTCCATGAATATATTCAGGATAGTTACAGATTTTTTTCTGATAATCTGAGAAGTGAGATTTTGGAATATCTTTTGTAAAAAGGAATAAAAAGTCACTAAACCAATTTAAAATTATCTTGGTAAGATATAAAGATACTGTGTGACCTAGTTTCTCAATGAATTTTGGGGTAGGATTTACCTTGCAGAGTAAGATACCTAAATGTAGATGTCCAGATGTAGATATCTACATTTGAATTAGATGTCCAAACTCTTATAGTTAATGGAGATCTAGTTAATGCAGTCAGTTACTCAACTGGCCAAATGTAGATGGCTATTTTGGGATGTGCTGGGTAGCACTGTAGACTCCACTGGCTTCATTGGCTAGATCTTCATATGGCTACTGTAATAGTTATTTGGGCACTTTAGTCACACTCAGAGGTATACATTGTAGGCACCTAAAATCACATACCTTAATATGCAAGTTAAACCACAAGGTCTCTTCCAAGCCTAGGGATTTTTTTTTTATTGCACTCTGAAAGGTATGAGGTCACTGGAAAAATATTATTCCTCTCAGCATATACACAGAGAATTCCACAATACAATTACTGAGCAAACAGATGGGAACTGTGAGTAATAGAAACATTTGCACATGAATCTAAATAATTAGGGTATAGTAACAGCCATGCACATATACTTGCAGATTGGGTTAAGCGTTAGTCCTCAGATTTTAAGGATACATCCTTTACCATAACAAAGGCCAGGAGATCTGATATTATGATTATTGAATGCCTTTTGATATCCCTAGAAAGTAATGACACTGTAAGAAACTTAATGAAAACCAAACTGGAAGAATTTCTAAATGAAATTGGGCTAAATATGTGACTCAGAAATAGTAGGAATATAGTGCTAGAAGGGATCACCTTAGTTCATCAGCTCCAATCCCCCTAATGATGAACAATAAAATAGATATCTCGTGCAAAACATCCTTTAAAAAAACTACTTCCAAAACTTTCTAATAAACATAGCATCTTTATCTTTAGTGGAAAGGTTGTCTGTCACATTCTGTCTGAAATGTTAAAAACTGGTGTATCTGAGAATCTCTAGCTAATGGCCACTTTTTGGGTTGTAGGGTTGGCTGGCAATTCCAGATGCAAGGAGGATACAACTTTGCCCCTTTGAAAATGGCAAGTATTGTGTGATTACTCTTTATATGAGTGATTTTCAGCAGCTCCTGTAGTATGTCACAATTTGAAATTCATCTAAGGTGAAAACCATACATTGCAAGACTTCAAGGACATCATCATATTGGTTTGTTATACTGTGGGTAAATGAAATAACTTACTTTCAGACCAAATTGTTCACCAAGTTTATGCCAATATAAACACTAAGTAACTTTCTAGTAATTTCCCACATTTTCTTAAGTCACACACAAACTGGCCAGAAGGATGAAAAGCCACTGAGGTCAGCTTTGAAATGCTGATGTGAGCAGAGGGCTTCAAGGAGAGATTTGAAGAAGGTGTCCATTCATGTCCGACACCCAACTTAAAGGAGGGAACAGGGAGTTGATAAAGAAGACAGTTAACTGCATATGGGAGTTCCCATACTTAATGGGAAATTTTTCACACAAAGCGTTCCAGCAAAGTCAGAGTTTGGTCTGAGATGACAGCTGAAAAAGAAATTGTCATATTATATAGGTCTTTAGTGAAAGCTTTACCAGGCAGATAGAAAAAAGCGTAGCCTGAAAAAGTTTTTTATTGTGTTCAGTCCAACATAAGTACAACAATATTTTTTCTCCAGACTATGCTAAGAAGCCCATTAAGGGATTTTAGTATTTGATTTAAAAAAAAAAAAGAGAAAGAATAAAAACACCAACCCATAACAGTGCATCCAAACTCCATTAAACTGCATAGACATTCACTGCAATCCCTTCACATTCTTTCAGGGCTGATATGTTTGTGTTAAAATGGAAGCAATTTCTTCTTTAGTTAGCCCAGCCTTCATTTCTGATTTATTTTATTGTGGCAGAATATAGTGTTTGTGACACTACCATTCCTTCGTAGCAATGGAGTGCAGTTTGACTAAATAAAAAGGGTATTTTTTTTTCTCTATTTATGCAATAGAGAGCACTTACAGGAATAGTCACGCTCTGTCTGTAGCTATGTCTATGTCATGTAGTCAGATCTGGCTTTAAGGTCACCAAAGCAAAGCCTGTTTGCCATCTGCAGTATGAAATCCTAGCCTCTATTCTTACTAGCTGTTCAGCCTGAGGCTGGGTCTCATGGGGCACAGGTTGTTTTCTTCCAAATGTTCTCCTATCTCTACCTGTTTCCTGTGCTTGGAATGGTTATGCTTTGCAAGTGCATGAAATTGGGCTCATGAATCCCATGATTCCTTCCTTCCTTCTGTATTCTGCTTCTTTTCCTTCCCCTCCTACTGCAGTCATTCTCCTCTCTGATGCCATTGAATCAGGACTATGGGGATAGCTGAAGCATAGGTTACAAAGCTTTACGTAGTCAGAGGAAAGGCAGTATATGCTTTGGCACATTGAAGCTCTTGAAGCTTATTTCTGTCCATTTAGGAAGTTCCAATGGACAATTACAATTGAAAACTTAACTTATAGCTTTGATAAGGAAGTGAATATGCGAAATACTGTTTTGCAGCTATACTTTTCCTTTACTCAACTATCCTCCTTGCAGGAATCTCAAGCAATTTTTCAGACTCTAGCACCCAGCTATTTAAGTATATAAGGAGTTCCAGCTTTTGAGCCACATTGTTTTCTTTTTAAATCCTTCTTTTTCATAACTGACAGGTCTGTTTGCTGGAATATCTAAAGTAGATGGGTTCTTTTTTTTGCTTATTTATCATTGATGTAATAAAGTTGGGATTATAGATTTAGTTCTGTGGTAGGAGGTAATTAATAGTTGTGTATCAGAAAAAAGCTCCTCTATGTAATAACTCTTTTGGGTTAATGTAACTAAGAGAAGAAAAAAAGGAAAAAAGAATGTCTATTGGTTACTAAACAGTGTTATTATATGAGACTGAAGATGAATGAGCATCTTTATTATGACGTAAATAAGTAGATGCCACAAAGGAATAAAACAGAAGAAAACTCAGGTAATAAGTCAATGAGCAGGCCTGGAAACAAACCTGAGAAATCTTAATTGTGGTGCTATTCTCTTAATTATTAGGATTACACTTACATTATATCTACATTATTACAGACTCCTATGACATCAAAACGTATGGTGCTATTCTCTTAATTATTAGGATTACACTTACATTATATCTACTTTATTACAGACTCCTATGACATTCAAAACGTAGCTGTGAAAACTGTCAGAACTGTTGGGACTCAGGGCTTTGCAGTCAGGTTAAATATTCTCTAAACATTAGCTTTATAGTCCATGTCCATTTATTAAAACCAGCACTTTTTAAAAAGAATAAAGATGTCCAGCATTTTTTTAAAACAGAATAAAAATTTCCACTTCATAGAAAGTTTCAGTTTTTTGATGTACGCACATTGGGACACAAAGTTAAGACAGGAAGAGGCTTGGCAGAATTAAAGGATCTGGAAGGTTTCTATTAGAAAATATCAAAAGGTTTGATTTCAGGACATTTCTGAGAGAAGCAATACCAATAGGAATTGTTGTTATGCTTGATGGGAGTTGAATTTGGACACCTGGTGTTTCCACTGTTTTATGTAGACTGTGCTTCTTCACTTTGCTACATTTTCTAGCGATGGGTATTGTTTGTTCACTCCTCTTCAACATCCATCTGGCCACGTTTTCAAGTTTTTGCTTCACAAATAGTTGCAGAAATGTAATTTTTTCCTACTTCTGACTATTAGGCAAATGTAAAACTTTTCAAATTACTTCTTGAAGTATGAACTGAAATATCAGTTTGAATTTCTTGCTGGAAATTCTTTCATCCACATGCAGCTAAATGGAAAAGAAAGTCAGTACGAAGTGACTAATTTGACCAATCAAATAAAAAAGAGAGCTTTTATTTTATAATAGTGCCTATTTAAGATATCCCCAAATATATGTTGACTAGCTCTGAAATTATGGTGTGCCCAGTATACATAGAAAGAAGATTTATATAAATGCTGTAGAAAAATTATTTATTGTGAATTACTTGCACAGCTTTGTTTGGGATTGGAGTTCTTGATACTTGGCTAAAGGCTTGAATTTATCTTCTTACATATACATTGTGTGCATGTAAGTCCTACACAAGACACACACAGTCTGAGTCTCCAATACCACGACCTCTAGTCACTAATGTATGGATTCATTCCAATTTATCATACACAGTTAACTGAAGGTCCTTGGTTAGCAATTTACTTGTGTTACACTCCCCTTGTGATTGATGGGCAGAGAATGCTCTTCCAGTGCAGCCTACTTAAGAACCGAGGCGTCATTCCCTGGTGATGCCTATCTATCACCCTAAGTGGGAGACTGGTAAGACTAAGCTCTCAGGTTAGGTACCTCTGGTAAACGCCAACACTTTGGTGGGATGAATTCAAGTTTTACACTGTTACAATGTGAAACACTGCAGTTCTGATTGGTGAAAATGACAAGGAAATGGAAAAGCAATGCTTTTGGTTTTAAGCACAGATTTATGAACAATTTTGATTCATTTTTAGACATCTTGAATAATGTTTCCACTCTTTGTGCACAGATACGAAGGTGCTATGGGATAATATTGTTTACAACCCAGTGACACAAACCCTAGCTTGGGAACCAGCCTGTCCTGTGCTTGTCATGGTTAACCTGTGCAGGTTAATGAAGTCTAACGACCACTGTGAAGATATACAAAACTCTTCCAAAAATTCTCCTGAGAAAGTAAGAGCTATGCAGATTTATTCAAACTGTGAGATTGAAGGCCATGACCAAAGGCATAATGTGAAAAGCTAGGTTTGGGAATAAGAGCACTTGCAAATTCCTCTCTTCTCTGATACTTAAAACTATTCATAATCACAGTCTGTTCTTGTACACTAACCGCATGACTTATTCAAAGAGCTCATGTTGACTGACTCACTATTAAGAAATAAAAAGTGGAGATGACTGTGAAGCTAGTAATGTTTGCTAAATTATTTGGTGTAAATAGGGTCTGCTTTTCATTTATAGTAAAGGCATGATTCATCTGCCCTGACTTTGCTGTCTAAAAGATAGGTGTTTAAGCCTACGCTATTAATCTCAGATGGCCTTTAAAGTAAGTAAATGAAACAGAGATATTGAGAGGACAACTTTTCTCATCTGAAGGTAGGCATGTAAGAAAGGTCGGAAGGATTTCTCCTGAAGGTACCTCTTTCTCTTCACTGACTATGACAAGAGTCTATTGTGATTAGATCACATTTGGATATTTAACATTTAAACACCTAAAATGTAAGTGAGGTGAAGGTAAATCTCTTTCAATCTTACTGGAGACATAACGGTACCTTGGTAGGGTATGATTGTTTTGTACTCTATTCAGATCTCTTTGAAGTGCCTTCCTCAAACTGGTCCAATGTCTTGAAATTGTGGGTGTTGAAATATTGGGTTCCTCAGTTCTTCTAGCCCTTATGTTCTAAAGTTGAAAAGAGTTTTCATTGCATGTATCTTGAACTGCTTAATGCTTCAATCTGAAGTCTTATGGTGCTGAATGCACTGGATTTATGAGGTTGGTTAGAATTCTGGCTTTCATCTTGAAAAGTAGGTTTCAGGCTTTCCTGATTGTGGAGAGAAGCCAGTAAACTTGAGGTAACAACTGAAAAGGCAAATAAAATCAAAAACAAATTCTTAATTTTTGAAACTTTATGAGTGTTATTCTGATGACATGACTGGGGGGGACTGACTCAAGACTGTTGAATGCTCTTTTGATTAGGAACTCCTGGCCAAGTGTTTAGTGATTGTTCAGATTCACCATTTCATGGGTTTCAACAAAGCCTTGATCTTGCAAAAACAAATATATTTAATTTTATATATCTGAGTGGTCCCTGCAGGATTCATCATCTGCTGACAACAAGCACAACTCATTGCTTGCAGGAAAGAAAAAGAAAAGAAAAAAAAATAGGAAAGAAAAAAAAAGAAAGAAGCCTAAAATGAGGTTTGGCTGTTAATGGTCATATCTATTACCCAGAACACAATCCAAGATTCGTTTATTACAGATGATGAATGTTTTTCTGTATTTATTAATATTCATGGACAGGATGAATTTTCCCTTTTTTTCTAATTCATCCTAAAAGGTTTGATATTGAATTTGGTCCATTTCTTGTACTGTAAACCTGAAGAACATCTCTATAGTGTGCTGGAGACTGCTGCAGAGATTCCTCGCATAGCGCCAACTCCCCCAGTAAATTCTCACAATGCTGCACACTCTAATACCATGCACATGTACTGACTTAGGCCCAAGAGCTACATAACTCTTCTCTCTAATTAGGGTGGGGCTTTCTCTGTCAGTGGCAATGCTGTCTCTATATCTGAGTGGACTCTTACAGAACTATCTTCTGTGATCCTATTGTAGACATACCTGAGCGCATCCATTATGTTCTTCTCAAAAAAGTTACGGGAAAGAGGTGTTACTTTGGTCATGATGCCATGTGTTGTGTGTAGGATCCATTGTGCTCAGTCACTTGAGCAATGGTGTTTATTTAAGTAAGATCACTTACATGGGTAGTAATTGATTACATGAAACAAGGCTTTTTATGCTGAAGCCCTTGGGTAAACAGCTGTTAATCAAGAAAGCAACATTTTGTAGGTCACTTAAGTGGATGTCTAAAATTCAGTCTACCTTTAAGTCTTTTCTGGAATAGGGATATGGAAAATTGAAAAAATTCTGAACTGAAGGTGGAATAACACTTTTGGGTATATGTTTAAATGTTCTGCTGAGTTGTTGATGAGTGGTAAATAACGGTCTGAAACCAGAAGACTGTGTAATCAGAATTTTGCACACGAGCCACCATAGAATCAATTAATTTAGCTCTAATGGGTCAGACTGACTGTAAAAAATGCTACATGTTACAGATAAAAAGAAGCAAATTATTCAGTAATCCAAAGTAGTGGTTGTTTCTATTCTTAATATTTTATGTGATTAACTTCCTAGAATGCATATAAAGTAAACAAACCAGTTCCTTTCTCAGTAATCAAACTATGAAAATTTTGGGTAATTGATTTTGTGCAATTAGTTAATGAAACTAGCTAATTCTGAGTGATCTCTTTTCAAGCAGGTTAAATATTCTCGTGTGGACACTCACCCAAGACTTTGCATGAAGGTAAAGGGATTTCTTTGTAAAACACCTATTAACTGCCCTCTTTCTGTCAGCTCTAAAAAAATGAGTTGCTAATGTTCTTTAGGATCAATGTTTTGTTTCATAGCTCTGATGAATGGGAAGTAAGAATGAAAGAAATCTGAGAGGTTAGATTAAAAGGAGGTTCTTTGGAAGTGCAGCAGCAATGATAGGACACAGGTCAAATTGTGTCCTCTGTTTTCTCTGCTTAAGAAAAGCAGGGAAAAAATGTTTTAGGTCAATGCAAACTCTGAAGAATGCACTAAACTTAACGTATAAAGTTTTCCATATTAAATATTTGGTAATAAAAATGATCAATACCCTACATTTACTGGAGTACCTTTTTTTTCTTCTAGTTGAGAAAAGAATGCCACATAAGGTTAATATAGGCATATTATTGTTTTCTTTTAGATTACTTTTAAGTCAGCGGAACTACATGTTTCTGTAAAATAAGCATGTGCATAAATATCTGAAGAATTGGGGGACCTAATTTAAGTCAAGGGTTGGAAGATACCATAGACCAGGAAAGCTGTGAATTTCACCTTCTGCAACTTTCTGGAATACACTGATCATCTCTAGTTCAATCTGTAGCCACAGATTGAAATTGAAAAATCAGTTTTCCTAACAGATTTCTCTGCTTTCAGTTTACAACAAAGCAAGGCTCTTGGGTTAAATGTCCATTTGCTCGTGGAGACTTTCCAGGTAAATATATTTTTTTAATTACATAATATTAAATTCTGAAAAATATTTAAATCAGTCACTAGATATGAGCCTTCTCCAGTAAGCAAGTGAGATGTGTTCACATCACTGTAGCTTGTAAATTATGGCAAAGAGATTTGTCAGCTTGCTACTTCTATGTATCCCCAATAGATCAAGTGTTTATCAGTATAAAAAGTAACTTGTGGGAATCAAAATAATTACTTGCATATCATTTGATGGCACTTAAGTAATTAAAAAGACATTTATTTTAAATATAACAATTTAGAATATAATATATGGTCCTTGCACATCTAAAAGTAAGTCTTTTCCTCTAATATCAGCTTGGAAAATGAGAACTGCTGCAGTTGCAGAACAAATACAAGTTTTCTTCACATCCCAAACCAAGGCACAGTTCTCAGTGCTTGTGTGTAACAGGACGCAGCTGGCCTCATGTGAATCTGTTGGGATGCACCATTCAGTCTCTGTGGTTTGTATATATTATTTCTTAAACATTGTAAGACTTTTAAACATATCTAACTGCATTCATTTATTATTCCATTTATCGCTCTGCAGCTTGAAAGCATTAATAAACCTATGCATGTACATATTGGAACAATTACTAGAACATTTTTAAAGCATGTAGTTCTAATTCTGATCTCACACTGAAGCAAGAAATAAATAAGGATCCTGAAGTCAAATGAGTCACATCAAAGGAAGTGACTATTGAGTGGAACCTTAATATTCTTTTAACATCATTTTTGTGGTGTAGTATTTCTATTATGTATATAGCAAATGTTAGTGTTAGTATTTCATATATGGGTCACTGATACAGCTGGCCTAGCAAATCTCACATCATGAAATGTAAGACTTGAGGCATAAATCCATGGTAATCTTGAGCCACTCTAAATCTCACAGCTGCCAAAACAAACTCAACACACAAAAAAGGTACGTTTTCAGCCAAATTAGCTTTTTGAGCTGGCTGACTGTGTGAATACACAACTGCTTCTTCCAGCAAAGTGGGGGAGAGAGGGAAAAGATTATGGGAGGGTGAGATTTCTGTCTCAGGCAGCAGCTAGTCATGAAATGGGAGCCTCATTCCTCTCTTGCAATTAAGCCTGTATCTCATACATTTTCAGTGCAGCACTGTGGCTTGCCCTTGCCCTTCAACCCTGCCTACCAGAGTTACCTTGTTGGCCTGACCTGTGATCTACTGAGAGGTACATCTGGAAAGTGGGGTCAAAGAGCAGAAGAGTGGCCATAGCATTATTTTTCAAATAGGAGAATATTAGCAGGATAGGTCCTAGGAGCTACTAGGACCACCATGCTGAAAGGCATTCTGCTGGTTCAGCAGCTAGCTCCTCAGTAGTCTTATGTTCACCCCTAAATGTGTGCTCCTGCTGTCTGCTCTACTGACCAGGTATATGAGATGTCATATGATGGATTTTGAGAAAGCTGAGAAATCCAGATGTTGTAATTTCTACTGTTATTCCTGACTGTGCCCATTGACTTCACTCCACTGTAGGGGGATGTGCTTTAGAAGACACAAGCATGCTGTAGCTCCTACACCTGTCCTCTTTTTTAGGATATGTTTCATCTGTACTTCTTTCTTTGCCACTGTATGCAGGTACATGCTGCAACTGTGACTTTTTCAAGTACCTCTGATGCTTTCAGTGTGCAGGGTGCACATACCAGGGGGTAGCTGACAAGCGGGTAGCTATGAATGAGAACTTCTTAAACTCAAAGGGGTGGACACTGAAAGCTGAATTTACTTTCTAATGAATCAGCTTAGGTCTTTATTACATCTCTGGTGCTGAATGCAACTCAGCTTTGCTGCTCAAGCTGAGGACATGCTTAAATGGAACAAGATAACTGCTCCTGCAGGAGATCCCAGAGCTGAATAATCATGGGGAAAGGCCTGGGAAAAAACAGCTATCCTAATCAACACAGACCACAGAGGGCATTGGTGGTGCTATCAAAGGTCTGTCCTAATGGGGCAAGGTATCTGGGGAAATGCTGTATTACCAGCCGAGAGGGACATCAGTACAGTAGAAGAGTTGTCAAACACGATGTTCAGTGAACACTTACAGTAGCACTTCCCTTCAACCAGCTTATTTCACATGAAATCTGTGTAGTTTAGACTTTCTGGTTTTAAAGGTGCCCTGTGTGAATTGCTAAGTGAGAAGGGTAATGGTGGAGCACCAATAAATCACAGCTAGGTATTGAAGTGTGTGTTTCATGAAGGGCACTGATGCATTTAAAAATGCTGTTTTCTTCCCTCTGGTACAAAGCTGTCATGTCCTCTGCTACTGTGACAGAATGGGAGCCCACATAAATTACATACAGTTCCTGTCTCAACACCATGAACAATATACACAAAGTTTTCATCATGACTTTGCTCTGTGTTCCCAGAAACCAATGCTCATTCTCTACCTAGTAATCCCTGTTCAGTTGTGCTCGAAAAAGAACATATTCACCTAATTTGCCCCAAATTACTTTAGGAGTTTGCCACACTAAAGAGAGTGGTGTAGGTTTCATAGCTATTAGTGGAGTAACTAAAATTATTTTGAGGACAAACCATAAACAACCAAGCATTAAGCATCGGAACAGTAATTTAGGACAATTTTACCCTAAGGCTGAACTTGTTCTTAGCATACAATGTGATGGGAAATCCAGAAGAACTGTGAAGAAAGGGTCATTCCTTCAACTCATGTACACCAGGGAAAAGAAGTGAAGATGCTCATTGGCTAACATGGTGTGAGCAGCCACAGTGGGGAGGGTGTCCTGCCTTATGATGCTTCATAAAATTCAGGAACGTTAGCCCTCTTCCTGTGCTGCCCAAACTGTGCTTGGCAAAACTACACCAGCAGCTTATGGTCACTGAGATCCGGGGATATCTCTGAAAATAAATAACCTTCCATAATGAATACATACTTTATTAATTTTCTGACACAGTAGAACGTGTAGCATTACTGGCAAACAAACCCAAGAGCTGGAGAGATAGAATACATTTTCATTGTTCCAGGGTATGGAAAATAATAGTTTTCAATTTTTTTCTTTTCATTAGGGAGATTCTGTATTAATCACTATGTCACAGGAAATGTGTGGGTCAACAATTTGCATTCAGGTATGTGTCTTGATTTTGCCAGGTACTATATACAAAATCAACAAATCATAAACCCCCCCCCAAAACTAAACCAGCAGGCACTCTCGCTGCTTTCTCTTCCCAGCCAAATCTGATTACTATGCGAATGGAGTTGGCAAAGAGCATTATTTATAGCTTGATGTGCTGCCACTACCTCTTGTTGAGATGACATTATTTAAGAGAGAAGTTGCTCTCCATGATCTTGCTCCTTTTTCAGTGGCAGATAAAGGGATATCATCAGGAAATTGCTAATCCTGTCTTTATATGTTCCTTTGTAATAAAAAGTTCCAGGGTATCAAAGGACCCAAGTAAATCATAGATGAATTTTTCAAAAATTGACATTAGCTGGAAAAGGTTAGGCATATAGCAAACAGCACAGTTAAGTGCATAGTATGCTAGAATTAGCACTCCTGAAAGCAGATCTGAGCAAATTATTTCTGACATTTTTGCACACTATTTCCGTAGCTGAACTTTATTAAGACAACATTAATAGAAAATGAGCATGAAGCTGATAGGTTTATTCCTCTCTGGAGTTAATGTTCTCAGCAGGCACCGGGACAAGAGAGACTGACAGCTGGAGCCGCGAGGTTCCAGCAGGTGCCCTGGAAGGTCCTTGTCAGCTTCACTTTCTGCTGCTAGGAAGAAAGGGGCAAGATGAAAGTGAGATTGGCAAGAGCCTTCTGGGTAATGAGAGTTGTTCTTCCTTCCCTAGTGAAAAATCAGATTTGGTGGTAAAATTGATGTTTTCCTGCATAAATCATTTATTTTGTAAATAAGACATTATCTGTCAGAATACAGTTCTCCCCCTCCCCCCCAAAAAATCTGATTAGCTTTATCATTTAGAAACCTAAAAATGATTGCAACTCACTAAATATACACTAGATCAGCAGTCTCCATATGCATTTATTTAAAAACAGATTAAAAAATGCAGTCACTTGAGTAAACTAATAAAGCAATCTCATTTTGTCAACACAAGTGTTTAGTAACAGTTCTGCTGAAAGGGGAATAAGCCTCAATTCTTTCTTTTAAAAGGGCTGGAGGACAGATGTAGATTATTCAGTTCCACTGCAGATCTGTGATATCCACTGTGGTAAGTATGAATGATAACAAAAGAAGAATTAGGTCTTGACTGTATAGAACACAGCATCTCAGGTGAAGTGTGTTTTCATTGGGAAACTGAGGTGGGATTCACCTGACTGAATGTAGATGTCTGCATGTGAGATAGATATGCTCAGCTTCCTTTATAGACAATGGACTCATATACCTCAACTAGCTTTTAATTAGCTACTGCAAGGGCAACTTGTGTGACTCTCTGTTTTCTCTGCTTCCTGGGTGAATTTTCCATCCTGTGCCAAGTTCTGCATGCCACACCTATATTTACCTTGCTGTCAGTACATGAGGTAACTAGTTAAAAACAATCCTTGGCAAGTAGGCACACAGTGCTGTCATTGTAGTGACTGCAGCATAGCCCTACTGTTAATTCCGCCCCTCTGCAAATGGGACAGTAGTACTTCCCTCCACTGCGGAAGTACGGCGAGGATATTATTATGGTTTGAGGTGTACTCAGATACGCTCATGCAGTCAGAATATTCCGAAATCTCCAAGCCCTGAAAGTAAGGTCTTGTAGAAGTTAGTGAGTTCAGAGTGAACTAAGGCTGTGGGGTTTACGGTGAAGAGCACAGGAGTGGATTGACTAGTTTAGAACTAAAAAGTCTAAAAAGAGTCAAGCTGAGAGAAGGCTCAATCTGAGCATTGCCAAAAACACCTCCCCAAACCCACCCAAACAAACAACCTCCCCTCCCAGTTCATTGTAAACATAGTGATTCCTATGACCGATTTTCTCTGTTGTCTAAAAATACCTGTCAGTTAACTATAGCTTCAGATTTGGAAGCCTGATACTAAAAAGGAGGGGGCTTGAATTTGTAGTCAAAATGTAGTTCTCTGTGCAAGCACTTGCATAAATGCTAGTTCAGGTTTCTTCTCCACTTAAAAACTCATAACAAGCCCACTCAAGGTGAATCAATTAAATCGACTGTTGCGATTCACGTAGTCTGGATGCATTTTCCTTATTCATATTTTCCTTCTAACAAATGTGAAAGTTATGATGAAAGCATGTAAAATAATGAAAGGCTCCAGAGATGGCAGTCTGGGAATTTCCCTCTGCCTTATGGTAGGAGAGAATGGGTCTGTGTATTAAATGAAAGTGGTGGAACACCGAAAACTGAGTAAACAACATTTTGGGCACAGTATCTGATTTAAATGTGGAACTTCTTGTCACAAGTTTTTCTTCTGATCAAGAATTTGTGGAGATTCAGAAAAAAATCTGAGAAACCGTGCGCATATCAAGAATATCAGAACTGTAATACGTGATCACTATGTTTGTTGTATAGAGGATATTAACCTCATGCTTCATGGATTCTGCCATACTTTATATTTTTGGGATAATGTGGTCCACTTTAGCGGATGCGTAAGTCCATCTCTGCCAACTGACCAGGAGGGGGTTCCCAAAACCTCCCTCTGAGACAGATGGTACAGGTCAGTGTCAGAGATGGGACACTGAACTAGGTGGGTTCAACTCATTGCTGTAATTCCTGTGTTCTTAATGACTCATCAGGAGCCATCAACTGCTTGTCAAGTGTAAGATTTTTAATGTAACAATAATAGGATTGCTACTAAGGACTTTCATATTCTTAAATGCTTATTTTCTAGAAGAAAGATATTTTCTCAAGCACTAGCTTTTCAAAATCAGGAGATGATGAAAGTTTCTTAAAGACAATGTCACCAAGGGTGATAATTCTTACACTGGGATGCTATTGTGATCGAACCTAAGATGTTAAGAAAAACAATCCACATAAAGGTGAAAGGAATATTAAACCTCAGATTTGTCCATAATTTGTGACAATATGGATTATACAGAATGTCAAACTAAATGAGAAATAATCTTATAATGGCATAGTGAAAGTAGTGAAAATATTGACTGCATACATCTTTGTAAAATAGAAATTTACATTGTTAACTATCACTGTTAAAGGTACCAAGCAGCGTCAGTGTGTCCAAAAGAGCCATGATGTTATTAACATGCATTTTGTTACTCAAAACCAAGATTCCAGTGGTGACAGTATCTACTATAAAAAAATCAGTGTAGCTAACCATCATGAAGGCTACTCTTTTTCCAGCTGCAAGAAGAGTTTTCTGGCATGTGGAATGCATTATACTGCAATGCATTGCATTTTTCTATCAGTAGCTATGCTTTGGAATTAGAATGGCTTAGCCTTATTTGCTCTACAGAGGATGGAAATGGGAAAATCCTTTTTTTTTTTTTTTTGCATTTAATAGCATTGACTTAGAGACAAAACTTTGTGTTCTTTTTAAATTTTATTTTTTTCTTTGGCCGCTTTTCTGGATTCCATTTAATGAAGCCAAACATTTTGAGACATTATTTCACCTATTAAAAAAGAAACTTATCTATTCTGAATGAAACAATAACCCAAATCAGTTAATTTGAGAATAAATACGTGAACCATAACGAAAACAAAATGGCAACCTACATTTGAATTTGTTTCTTCAGATTTTCGTGGTCAGACATACAGTGATGGAAACCCAGCAAAGGCCATGACACACAGGTATCCATCCAATGTATAGTTTAAAACATCTTTGAGAGTTGATAGAGTTGTTAATCCTGAAAACATATCTTTGGCCTCTCTAAAGAACAGAAGCAATGTCTGAGTGAATTCTGTACTAGCCAGCAGGAATATCAGGTTCCTCTCTCCCCTTTCCTTGTCCCCACTGAAGACATCGCTTGCTCCTGTGCTCTCTCTCCTCTTGCTCTCTCTCTGTTGCACCACAGTGCAGTTTGGCATCAGAGGTAGCTGCCTTGCTGCCAAAGAGAGAGGACGAAGGGAGACAAATAACCACTGGAAGTGAGAAGTTTGTAAAGTAACAAGACAGCCTTCAAGAGCTCTGGAACAATCTCAGATTTGCTGAGCGTGACATTCACATTATTAGCACCTGCCCCCTGCTTTCTCCCTGACATTGGCAGGCAGATCAGTCCCCTCTGTGCTCTCAGTCACCAGATGTGTCTGCTCAGCTGTTCCAGTGCTTCTTTTCATTCCCACAGCCCTTTGCAAAACACCTATTCCTAGGTTGTAAACAAATCAGTAATTAATGCAGCCCGTGAATGTATGATTTGATAGATGCTGAGCTCTTAAAAAGCTCTTCCTTTAAGGATACGCTTTCAGAGGCAACCTAGGATAGTGGGAGCAACCTAGAACTCCAGAGAGAGTGGAGACGCTCTGAAAAGCCCTTGTTCAAAGATGAGAAAAATATGCAGCCTTGCAGAAGTTATGCAAGTCATGTGGTTGAGAAGGGGCTGCCATCTTTGCTTTGAGGCAGTCTTTGGCTTTTCCCTTGTCAGAAGATACCATTCAGAATAAAGTATCTTGGTTTTGTTCATTTGTTCATATGAGTGCTGTTTGGACTGTGACAGTCAAGTCCATAAGCTGTAGACAAATGGTTAGGTTTCTTATTTAACTCCAACTATATATTAATGCAATGAACTCTCTCACACTTCAGAGAAAAAAAGCCAATATTCTTTCCTCTTCTGTTTTTCCCCTAGAATGAAGAGTGTGCATTCCTTGCATTGAATTTAACAACACATTTTCAAGGTCCTTAGTATCTTCTCAACATCAAGTTGTATTTTGGTGTAACTTGCAAATCTTGTCTAACTGGTCATCTCTCATGTTAGTAGTTTCTGCTAATTACTGTGAGATTATTCTCATGAGTGAAGAATTTAGCAAGTTAAGCCTATTCTAACATGTCCAAAAGAAGCTAGATTATGATTCCTCATTTCTCAGTATTTCAAAACAAAAAATGCCTTAGGTCACTTAGTTAGAGGATCAGGTTCATATTTTCCTTCTAAATTAATATTTTATATACAATATGCTATAAATGAGTACTCTCATAGTACCTTGTGTACCTATAGAACAAGTATTTCAGATTTTCTTATTTGTAACCTTTGTTTTTAAACCATAAGCAAAAGTTTTTGGGAAATGAAGAATGGAGGAAGTTTTCTCAGCTTTGTTATGTTATCTTTCTTTGTAATTTCCTTTGTTTTCTGATGCCATTCTGATGATCTCACCATGACAGACCATATTCCTTAAATATATCTAACAACTGCTTTCTGTGTTTGCATTTGTATTTGACTTGGAGATAACTTTCTTATTTGTCTGAGGAGGTACATGTCTTTGGTTTGATAGCTATTTAAAACTGTCATGTGGAAATCTAGCCTAGAAGGAAACAGTTTAGTGGAAAGAATTGAAGTATTTTTTTTCCATTATATCAGTATTTATACTCAATTGTTGAAAATAATATTACACACTGTACTGATTATCAAACATTTGGCCTTTATTTCACTGAATACTCCTGTCAAACATCCATACTTCCTGTTGTGTAACAAGGAAATAAAGTCAACTAAAAGGTGATTAATAGCAAATCCTGAAACCATGTGGAATTGCTCATGTGGGATCAGGAATATGGGTGGGGAGTGAGGGTCTTGAACAAGAAGTTGATCAATAAAAAAATATTTTCCATCTGAATGGTTTTTTTGTTTCAAGACTTTCAAAGAGCAATTTACAGGAGACGAATATGGTGTAAGAGACATCTGCTGTGTTGAAACACAAGGTTTTTGAGGTGCCCTGAAGAGGACAAATTCTGCTTAGCTCCTTTGATATCAAAGCTTCATTGTGTAAACTGCACATCTATTAGATATTTTCTTAGAATCATAGAATCATAGAATCATTGAGGTTGGAAAAGACCTCTAAGATCATCGAGTCCAACTATCTTATTCCAAGCAGTGCTACAGCTCCAAAAGCAGAGGCGGCAAGGCAGCTTTCCTAAAGCATTTAGTTACTTGCTTTGGCTGTGAAATAGAAGCACTGATCTATTCAGACATCTGCTTTTCCTTTAATACCCTTCAGACTGCAGCCAGAAACAAGACATTTGGACATTCAACTGAGAGCGCTTCATAACATTACTCTCTTCACTTTCCTCCAGTGGAAAAGTCTTTTCTGTAGGAAAGGTTGATTTGTACAGTGTGCTTTTTATTGCAGCAAAGTCTTAAGATCAGCTTTTTGAATACGTCCTCAGACTGAAAATGAATTAAAATTATACAGGTGTGGCAGGATCTGAAAACCTAAGTGTAGCTAAGACAAAACACCACCTCCAATGACAAGTTCATATGAGGTCCTGAAGCAACAATAGCTGTACTGAAGCTGGATGCTTTCAATGATAAGATCCTGTTTTGGCTGCACAGACACTAAATCTCTTGCAGTATATCTTCTCCTGTTGGCTGCAGCGATGGAAATCCAAAGAGAATGTGACCAGCCATGGTCCTGATCACTTTGGGGCTGTTTTACAGGAAAGCTTGAATGGTGAACATAGCAGACATGTCACTTAAATCAACTGTCTGAAAGTAAAGTGTACATTCAAAGGTAGTAGTCTATGATGGCCACAGCAGAGAGACAGGTACTTTCCAAGCATGTTGCATTCTGCTTGGATACTTGTTTTAGAGGGAGCCTACTCAACTTAGCCTAAATGCTTACCATTAAGACATTCCTGCTTATGGCAATGTTTGCAAATAATCCCTAATAGTATTTCCATACTCTGGCTCAGGTCTACCTGTTTGCATTTGTGTAGTGAGAAAATTGCTGGTAGCTTTTCTGATTGACTCCCAAGCTGATCTTTAAGAGTCCTGTTCCTAATACACTACTTCAGGTAAACATTGTCTCTTCTGATTACAAAATTTGTGCTCCACCTGAGACCAGCTCTTCCCGTTCTCTCAAATAGTGACTGGACCACCCTATACGTGTAATGCACTGGAAGGAGTTCCACTCGGGTGGTGCCTTTTTTAGAGAGTTCTGCATTACTAAGCTACCAGACAATACTGTCCTTGTGACATTACAGCTGCAAAAATAAAGTTGTTTTTTTTTTTCTTTTTCACAAGGCATTTTAAACATTGGTAGGTCAATCCTGAAAGAAGAAGGTATGAGAATCTTTCCCAACTGAAAGATTCAGTTCCATTCATATCCCAATGAATTCCCAAGTATTCATTTCACTCTGCTGACCATTGAAATATTTTCTTTTTCTCTCCAAACTATGCAATAGTTTTGCAATATTGACCAACGCACAACTAAACATGCTGTAATAACAGCCAAATGCAAAAATCCCCTATGTGATTGCCTATAGACTTGGCTAATTCTGTAAAGCCTCCATTCTTTTGTTGAAGGAAATTCCCTTCTTGCTTATCATGGGACCAGTCCAATCACCCTATTTTGAGACAACCCGCAGTTATTTGGTTTTCATTTCATATGTACATTCAAAGAGCATCAATGTCCCACTTCTTCCAAGATATTAGCATATATCAGGATATTATTGAAGTATAGCAAAAGCACTGATAGATGCTTTGTAGTAATCTCTTCAAAGGACTTTCAGTTGTGTCTAGTGCATTGCACAAACCTGAAACTAACATTTAAAGTTACCACATAAATTAAAGCCGTTTTCCTCCACTTATTTAGGGACTTATTTTCACTTGCCACACCCACACTGAGTCTGGTGTGGAAAACCAGACTGATGCTGCTGCAGTATTTTGGATGTCTTTGTTTGCAGTAGTGGATACATTTCCTTAATTGCAAGTTATAGCTGAGTGGCACGCTTGAATTGCAACATCCTAATGAGTAGCTGTGTATTCACTAAGCCATAATAACAGCCACAGCAGATCTAGTCCAGTGCTCCGCAGGCTGTGTTCCTGACCCATCTCTTTCCTGGACTGCTGATAAACTACTTCAGAGAAATAAATGGGAAGAGCAATAATGACTACTTTTGTAGGGTTAGTTTACTGCTGATTTCACTCCCTGAACTACAAAGTCAGGCATATGTGAGCCAGCAGAAGGGAAGCAGCCCAGCTATAGGGGAGTGGAAACAGTGCTGCTCCTGTTAGTTCCTTAGATAGCAGATTGACTGAACTGTAATGTAACACTGCAACCTGATCACTTACCTGTGCTTAGCAAACAGAAGAAAATGTATTTGCTTCAATTTACTGTGAAAAGTTGCAATAAGCAAATTCCCCTTCCTCATATCCTGTAACAGCTGACCTTAAAAAATGGTGACACTGTCTTATATCTCATATCCCCTGTAAGTTTTTTATTGTACACAGAAATATCTTTCCTGGATTAAGAAAACAATTTCTCTCTCTTATCCAGAAAGCCCTTTAGTGCAAACATGTAATGCTGCTGTGTTTAGTGCAGTACTGGAACAAGTCCAGTAGCAACGGTGGGAGCTATTACTCCCATCCCTCTTCCCGTTTTCTACCGCTCCAAGCCATTGTTGGTATCACTGGCTCACATTTTGTGGGAATAGGCCCCTCTATGTGGCACTAAGTGCCATTTTAAAAAAAAATTAACTAAATGAGCAAGGGTCAGTTCCTGTATTGGATTCACAAGAACTCTAGAAATTATGATTTCCTAGGAACCATCAGTGTCAAGACAGATCTCATCTACACTCCATCTTACATTGGACTAAATGACTTCTTAATATATAGCTGATACAATAAAAACAGGACAGCTTATCTACTGAAAAGGAGATGATAATTTCTCTAGATCGCATCTTTCAACAGGTGGAATTTGTAAGATATATTTCCTGCCATTGACTACATGCTGACTAATGAAACCTAAACCATCCTCTTTTAAAGCTGTGTAAGTTCCTATCTAACTTCTAAAGGTCCAATTTTCAAAATCAGCTTGGGATGGGATCCTGTTCCACATTGCTGTCTCCACATGAGTGCTGTAGGGTTTTGGACCTTTTCATATCATAACCAATATAATCAAAAACCTCTTGCCTTGGAGCCAATAGCCACTATTCTCATATATTTCACAGCTTCTAGTACATGCTCAGTGGCTGAACACCCACTGCAGAGGTTTCCAAGCTTTGCTTTCATAGTTTACATGCATTCTGAAGCTGGATTTGTGCTTGGCCAACAGTTTTTGCATGAGAGGTTCTCTGATGGGATGTGTCTGGAAGAAGAAAGGATGAAAGGCAAAAGAACGCCCAGAGATAGGGTGACTAGATAAAATATGGGGAGAATGTACTTTGAGTCATCTATGGGCACAGGTAGGGAGAAGCACTCAGCAGGAAGCAGTGTATATGAAGCCTGCAGAAGGAAGCCCATAAAGGGTGAAGGATGAAGTGGACATGCAGAGGTGGAGGCAGGGATGACAGGAGGTGGGGTAGGGAAGATGGACTGGAGGGGACAAAGAGTGTGAGGCAGGAGAGGGAATGGGGAGGTGAAGCCAGCCAGCCCAGGTATGATTCACATTGTTGGCTCAGATCTACTCCTCGCTCAGAACCTCCAGGTAAAATGGGAACGCGAGTTGAGAGGAACCAGGTATGTACTGCTCTGCATCCAGTGCATGCATTTGCCCGACCTGGTTGCTTCTCACTTTCATCCCTGCCCTGTGCTATCTTGTGCTTCTTCATGGAGCTCAATGTCATGGTGAGTGGGAGGCAAACAGACCCAGAACCTCCTTCTCTGACAGGCAGTCCTCTTCAGTGTGCCTATGGGCTTCTTACCCATAGGACTTCCCAGTTTGTCGGGTCCTCAGCAAGTCATCTTACGCCTCAGCTTCTAAATGCAGAGCATGAGTTAGA